TATAGTCATCCCTAATTCTAATTTTATCTTCCAAACGATCCTTTTGCACCATAAGGTGTATGATCTGCTCGTCCTTCTTAGCAATCCATTTTTCGGTCGTTTTGATTGTCTTCTTAGTTTTTTTTATCCATTCTTCATGCTCTTTGATTTTTTTAGGTCTATCCATTCTTGAGCTTGTTTGCATTCCCATGCAATTTCATTATCACGTTGAGTGAGAAGTCGGGATGACTCTTTGTCCTATTCTTGTTGTTCTTCAAGCTTTTTCAATTCTTCAAATATTTCATCAGACGTATATGGGCCTGATGAAGACGGTGTAAAAAAGGGTCGACTGAATCACAGTAGTAACAATCTACTTCGTTGCATGAGCAAATTTCGAAATTTTTTGGGGACCTCATAATAAAGTCGCGATTATAATAAAGTGGTGCTATAAGTGGTATTTATATATACTATTCCATCCGCAAATCATAGTCTAAATGCAACCATTTCGTAGTCAAAGTTGTAATTCATAGTCAAACTTTGAAATGACTACACATTAAAGACAAGTCACTGTAGTAACATGCAAATCGTAGTCAAACTCTTAAATGACAAGACATAAATGATTGTTTGACATGATAAGTCACTGCAGTAACCTCCAAATTATAGCCTTGTATTTATTATTATAAATAGATGTTTAAGCTATACTAACCAAATCATAGTCCTGTATTTATTATTATAAGAAATGTCGTCGAATGCATCAACTTCTTCGAATGAAGTACCTCGTTCCAACTCTGAACGACCGTGGACGACAAACGAGGTGTTGGTTCTAACACGATGCTGGCTAAGTGTTAAGGAGGGTATACCGTTACTTGCTCCACCGCATTGCCTAGTAGGTGATGAATGGACCCACATAACAGCTTTGTTCAACCATGAGATGGGAGAAGGACAACAACGACAACAATCAGATGTTGTTAGTAAATGGATGGATGTAAAGGAAGAAGTCATATGGTTCAGTCGAGCGTGTAATTATGCGAAAAGTACTAGAGTTCGTTGTCGAGATGAGGAAGATTTCTTGGAAGTTGTTAATGATTTTTACATCTTGGAGCGTGAAGGTAGAGACTTTGAATATGAAGACGTTTGGAAGGTTGTTAAAAATAATCAGTATTTCATGTAGTGTGCTCTATTTTACATTATAAATAACCCATGGACCTATTTTTTATTTAAATGCTTTGTTTGTAGTAATGTTTTAAGTTTAATGTTTCGTCTAATGGTTATTAGTTTCATGTTTTAAGTTTAAGGTGTAGAGTTTGAATATTTGTAATGTTTAAAGTTTAATGGTTCATGGATATGTTGTTAGTAATGTATTGTATATTGTCGTTAACACTAATGCAACAACATTTATTTATTAAAATTAAACAGAGGAGGTACTTACAATACAAACGTAATACACGAAAATAACCTAGTACACACCTATTAAATAGAAATACATATTAAACAAATGGGACATATTTCAAAATATTCCAAGGGGCTTAAAACTGGAATTCGGATCCGTCACTTAATGACTTGTACTCCTCCTTAGCAGCTTCAAAGATGACGTCCTCAGAAACATTTAAACGAGCGTCGTCAATTTTGGTATAAAGATCATTGAATAATAGAACTTCAGTTTTCATTTCATACCATCTTGCTAAGATGTCCAGTTCGTCACGGTCGTTTGCTGTAGTCATTCGGTTTTTAGCATTGAAGATATTGGTTAAACGAGTCCAAAACATTGGATTGTTCAACTTATTGGTCTCGTACACATGAATATATGCATGTGTAAGAACCAAGAACTCCTCATTGCTCCATGGTATTGAAATCATATTTAGTGAAATAAAGAGAGTAAATATTCAAAAATAATATACGAATAATTGTAACATCGGTTATTAAAATGTTGTTTTAACTAAAATTCTATTTATAGTAGTTTATACACAATATCGCAGTCCAATCTTCTTATTATGTCTGCAATTCATAGTCCAAGTTAACTGAAGAACGTAGTGTACTAATTGAGAACATAACAGATCACTGTTCAATTTGACAAGCAATTGCATCTGGATGACAGCACAATATACTGCTTCTTGAGTTGACAAACCATTGCATCGAATAACAACACAATACACCGCTACTTGAGTTGACAAGCCATAGTGCTGGGAAAATAACGAGTCGCTATAAATAATTGTTCATACCCTTTTTAATTGTATCAGATTAATTTTTTCCCTTGCAACTATGGACTCACCCGTACCACTTAGATGGAGCAATGAAGAGGAGATTGCTTTAGTTCAAGCTTGGATTGTAACTGTAGAGGACGATTCTCCACCAGGTCCTCCAGAAGTTCGCGCTGGATCATTTTGGTCTCGTGTCTGTCATTTATTTCACCATCAAATGGGGCGTACTCAATATCGAAGAAGAAGAGATGTCAAAGCGGAGTTTTTGGATTTGAAAAAAAAAAAGGTCAAGCATTTTCAACGTATTTATAACGAGCTGGATAATGAACATGAGAATATGGATGAAGACATTCTCATACAGGTGGCTTTGGAACTATATCGTTTCGAATCTGATGGTAGAGAGTTTACCCATGGAGATGTATGGAATCTTTTAAAGAATTTCCCTCACTTTTAATATGCATGTTGGTTAAGTTGTGTGTTTTTCATTAGTTTCGTTGCTTGTTTTTGTATGTGTGTTTTCTCAGTACTTAATAAATCTCCCTTACTTTTAATGTATGTTGTTTCCTCAATGACAGTTAAAAAAGAATTAAGATTACACGTCCATAATCAATTCATTAAAACATTAACCCATAACTAATACATAACATAACATAAAATGCAACATTGTACATAAAATGCAAACAGGGTACATGAATAACTACTTCTTTTAGGGAGGTAACAGAACCACCCTTTCATTTGGAATTTCACAGTGCACATGTGATGGTACAAAATTCACCGACTCATATTCAAATGCAACATGGTACATGACAGCAGAAGACTTATAATCAACCATTTCGTGAATGGATTCAGACGTACGGGTTCTTAGACATGCTATAGTGTGACCACATGGTATACCGCTTTTTTGCTATTTCCCACAACTACATATCCTACGTTCAAATTGTACTTTGTTGGTGCCAAAATTGTTATCAACTTCAAATGTATCCGCATACAAACATTTTGCCACCCAATTATAAGACTTGTTTATCCGCTTTTGAACCTTAATCTCAACATAAGGGTTCACCCCATCAAACAACCTCTCTGCAATATTTGTTAATTTTAAAATAATGATACAAGGAAAAACCAAATATTAGTATAAAGTTACCTGCCACTTCAGCCCGTTCAACATACGTTGTTTGTATCAACGTATTAATTAACTCAATTATCGTTGTTATAGGAAACTCTCGTGTGGATGTGGATATAATTTTCAACATTTCCAGGACATCAATCGATTTAACATTGTAACGTACTTTTGGGAAAAATGCTCGTGTCCATTTTGAAATTGCTATATCGTCAAGACAGAAAACTGGACTCCTAAGCAAGGTGCAAAAAGGTGGTTCCCTACCGACATTTTGCAACCTTTCCAAACACAAATAAAAATCATGAACACTATATGCATTGCATGACTTCCAAAACAACATTTCGACTTCCGTATCATTATGTCCGACAAAATCTTGTATTTTTCTGGCTATATCTTTAGGACAATATCCATGATATGAATCTGGGTAGACACTATGGACAACAAATTCTATTTTATCACATAGGTTTCTTATGAAACCAACCTCTGTATCCTCACCTAAACACTCTTTTAACTTCATCATGAACCATCTCCACGATTCTTCACACTCTAAGGTCCCCAAACCAATTGCTAAGAGTAGGGGTTCATGGTTTCCATCCAAAGCCACTGCGAAGTACATTGTTGTTAGATAGTTGCCAATTAGGGGTAAATAACCCACATATATTAACGGTATCATGCACCTAAGGAAGGTATGAATCTGCATCAAAAACAAACATATATTAGTGATAAGTAAAAAGTAAACGAGATACATTATCATGAAATATTATATAACTCAAGAAACACAAATATGTTATACCACGCAACCTAAAGCCACAAAACAGAATTGAAAGTGGTTGGTATCTGTTTTCTTAATGGCTGTGAAGGTATTAGGATTTGTTCTTTGAAGATTATGCAAGAATATTGGTAGCTGAGAAAAGCTTCTTTCGGTGTAAGTACTCATTTTCACAACCAATGAAAGTGTTTTACAATCATCACACAAATGCAATTATAATTATATTGAAATTAGTGTTTATCTACAGTTCATACTTCATAGTTCAACTTTTTAAATTCATAGTCAAACCAGTTCTTAGATCCATTCGAACCATACACAGTTGAAGTTTTCTAGTATCTCTAAACCAAAAACACACCATCACGCACACTCCGATAAGCCTTAATGGCTCATCTTGCATCCAAATTCGCAATGAGAATCTAGGCCCTTTTAGTTTTTTTTAGGCATCTTTGTCAGAAGAGCGCCTCATATTCTCTTTCTTAATCAAGCAATCTATGTTAATGATATCATTGTGCGAACAACATGTCACCATGCAAACCATCACAAATTGTAGTTGCCACTAGCTCGAAACTAGGCTCAAAATGGTGGTCCACCCATTTTCCGATCACTCCTACTTTAGAATTCCCATCGGATCTCTTCTATATCTAATGGTTACACACCTTAACATTACATGTGTCGCCCAACAAGTATGCTTTCACATGCATGATACCCGTATAGATCAATGTAATGCTTTACAACGAATAATTTAATATTTACAAGTTACTATTATTAGATGTCATTATCTTGTATTTAGATAATTAGCATAAGTTGCATGCACCCTAGGTTTCCTTGGACACCAAGCTAGGGTTGCCGTATTGAATGTATATACACTCATAATCAATGGAAGAGTGAAGGCATAAAGTTCTCGTAACTTGAAACTTTGACGTAAGCTTCAGACCAAATGAAATTCATGAAACTTGTGAAAATTCAAATTCCACCTTCCACTGCACAAACCGTACACCACCACCACCACATCCCCAATGGACTCAGCTACGCCGCATACGGCCGCCTCATCCAACACTGCACCAACCACCGTCTCATCCGCCAAGGCAAGCTCCTCCATGCTAAACTCATCCTCTCCTCCGTTACCCTCAACAACTTCTTGGCTTCAAAATTGATCACTTTTTACTCTAAAACCAGCAAGCTTTTCGAAGCCCAACAGGTGTTCGAACAACTTCCCAATAAGAACACTTTCTCATGGAACGTATTGTTCAGGGGCTACTCCATGAACAAGCATCACACTGATACACTGATGCTTTTTCGGTGTTTCTTATCTGCTTCCTCCATGTCTATAAAACCATATTATTACACTGTTACATGTGTGTTAAAGGCTTTTTCTTCGTTGGGTTATCATAAGTCGAACTTCACTAAAACAATCCATTGTTTTATTATCCGAAACAGGTTAGACTTCGATATCTTCTTTGTAAACGCTTTGATAAAATTCTATTGTAGGTGTAAAGATATGGTTAAAGCAAGAAGCTAGTTTGATCATGCAACTGAGAAAGATCTCGTGTCTTGGAATTTCATGATGGCAGGGTATTCACAAAGAGAGTTATATAATGAATGCAAGGAATTATATTTTAAAATGTTGGACTTGGAAGACATAAGACCGAATGAATTCACAATAATCAGCATCCTGGAAGCATGTGCACAGTCAAACGATCTTGATTTAGGAATGAAAGTTCATAGATTTGTTATAGATAACGATATCAAAACAGATCTCCCGGTTGTTTATCAAGATGTATGCAAAATGTGATAGAATTAGGTACAATGCACATCAACTGTTTGTAGAAATGACTAAGAAAGATGAGATTAGCTATGGCTCTATGATTTCTAGGTACATGCTACATGGTTTTGTAATGGAAGCCATGAATCTTTTCAGGGCAATGAAAAAACCATGTTTGAGTATATGGAATGCTGTGATCTCAGGTCATTTTCAGAACAATATATCAGTATGAAAAGGTAATCAATTTACTAGATGAGATGCAAGAAAACAAATTCAAACCAAACACTGTAACACTTTCAAACATTTTTCCTACACTTTCACATTTATCAAATCTAAAAGGATCAAAAGAGACACATGCGTATGCAATCAGAAACAGTTATGACACAAACATTGATGTAGCATTTCACATCTAGGATTATTGACACCTACACTAAGTTAGGTTTTCTCGATAGAGCCCGCATAGTTTTTGACCGATCAGAAAAGAAAAGTGTAATCATATGGAGATCGATAATTTCAGCATATTCATCACATGGAGATGTAAATACAACTCTTGATCTATTCAATCAATTGACTAAAGAAGGAATATATCCAGATCCTATGATCGTCACATCTGTATTATCAGCTTGTGCTGATCATTCTGGATATGTAAATGAAGCTTTGAGTATATTTAAATGTATAAGGCCTAAATATGGTATTCAGCCTTCAATGGAGGATTATGATTGTATGGTAAGTATTTTGATCAAGGCTTCGAAGCTATATGAAGTTGTGAAGTTGATAGAGGAAATGCCTTTTCAGCCTACTGGAGAAAGGTGGGATGCATTGTTTAAAGAGGCTTGAGATTGTGGTGATGTTGAAATTGGGAGATTTGCTTTTGATCATTTGATTAAATTTAATATTTTCGATACAGAACTTTATCAAAAAATGTTGAATTTATCGAGTGATGGTGATCTTATAAAGAGAATACTGAATTGGGGATTGGGGTTAGTTAGGGGCCAGGTTGTAGGGGTTATAATGTGGATGGCGGATGGTCTTAAATTTTGTAAGATCTTAACCGTTTAATCCGTTTTTTTTTCCGGCGAATTACAGACAGTGAATATTACTTTTTCATAACAATACAAACAATATTCTTTAATTTTATCAACCATGGTTATATTTTAATTTACTAAATGTTTTTAGGGGTGGGGGTGTTTATATAATTAATTCTCCTCTTGCATCTTATTTCCCTAATTATATTTTAAACTTCAAATCTTTTAAGTGTTTAGCTAGTTAATTTATTTCTTTTAATGGGTGTGTAAGTGTAACCGTTGTTGAGGCAAGGGACCAAACGAATACAAAGCTTTGAAATAGTGCTCATGTCTCCAAGTATTGAATCTCGTGGATTAAATCTTTTTTATTTTGGATTTGCGGGATGATTTGTGTAATTACTCCATTTTTTATAATTGGTTGTAAAAAAGAGTTAATTATAGGGAAAATGACTTACCAAGGTAATTAAATTTTCGGTATGTTCACATATAGGCAACTATCTTTTTTTTTTTTTTTTTTTTTTTGTATATATCTAGATAACAAATTTGTTGGAAGTGTTCACATATGACCATTATGACCTGCTATAGCAGGTTAAATCCTAGATATGAACACTTTCAACAAGTTCGTTACCTAGATGTGTACAAAATAAATAGTTACCCAAATATGAATAAAACGAAAAGTAAAAATAAATTACATGAATGGTCCCTGTGGTTATTTTTTTAATTCGGATGGTCCTTACTGTTTATTTTTGTTGCGCGTTTGGTCCCTGCTTACCTAAAAAGACTATTTTGCCCTTATTAATTTATTTTTTAATTAATTTTCTTATTTATGTATTTATTTTTTTTATATTTAAAAAAATTAACAGACCCCACATATCTGTATTTCCTCACCATAAACCTCAAACCATTTTTGAGAAATTTAATTCAGATGATCCCTACTGTTTTTTTGTTGCGCGTTTGGTCCTTGTCTTACCTAAAAATACCATTTTGCCCTTACTAATTTATTTTTTTAATTAATTTTCTTATTTATGTATTTATTTTTGATTTATTTAAAAAAAATTAACAGACTCCACATATCTGTATCTCCTCACTATAAATCTGAAACCACGTTTGAGAAATTTAATTTGGGTCTTACCGGTCACCATCCCATCTCTCATCCTCCCTAACTTTTATTTATTTTCCATCTTTAGTGACATCGACGTCTTCACCATCCTTCTTTTTTTGGTACTTCAACTCTTGCGAACCAACACCATAACCTACTGTTTCTTCATCTTTAGTGGTTGTGGTGATTCGATGGAGTTGAAGGACCGAAAAAAGAAGGAATGGTGAAGACGTTGATATCACTAAAGATGGAAAATAAATAGAAGTTGAGGATGATGAGAGATAAGATTGTAAGGAGATACAGATATGTGGGGTCTATTATTTTTTTTTAATATATAAAGTATACATACATAATTAAAAATAATAATAATAATAATAAAGGCACAATAGTCTTTTTAGGTAAGACAAGGATCAAACTCGTAACAAAATTAAACAGTAGGGATCCTCCGAGTTAAAAAATACATTAATTAAAAAATAAACAGTAAAGATCATCCGAGGAGATACAAATATGTGGGGTCTATTATTTTTTTTAACATGTAAAAAATAAATACAGAAATAAGAAAATTAATTAAAAAATAAATTAATAAGGACACAATAGTCTTTTTAGATAAAATAGGGACTAAACACGCAATAAAAATAAACACTAAGGGCCATCCAAGTTAAAAAATAAATTAGAGACAAAAAACATAAATTGCCCCAAACCACAGGGACCATTCGTGTAATTTACTTTTACTTTTCGTTTTTTTCATATTTGGCTAACTATTTTTTTGTACACGTATAGGTAACGAACTTGTTGAAAGTGTTCATATCTAGGATTTAACCTGCTATAGCAGATCATAATGATCATATGTGAACACTTCCAACAAGTTTGTTACCTAGATATGTAAAAATAAAAAATAAAATAACTACCTATATGTGAACATATCAAAAAATTAATTACCTTAATAAATCATTTTCCCAAAAAACTTGTAGTGTCGGTGGAAAAGTCTTAAAAAATATTAAGCGTTCAAGCCTTGTTGCAACAAAACGAATAGTTTAACTTTAAGGGTGGTGCATTCCATGGAATGTATGTAAGTTTGTCGTTCCAAATAAAAGAGTTAATCACAATTTTGGTCCCCACGGTTGGCACTCATTTGCATTTTTGGTTTAAAGTTTTAAGAAATTGATATGAAATATGAATGGTCCTCATAGTTTCAAAATGCATCATGGTTGGTCCTTTTGTCTTACATCATTAGAATTTTCTATTTACTCCTAATGTAAAAAAACATTTTTGTCCTTGGACCAAATTTAATAAAACTTATATACTTCAAGGAGCATTTTCTCCCCAACGCCTTAGACAATGTCCTCATCCGCTTCTGATAACTCTAATGCCACCCACCTTTGGTGCCTCTCTTACCATCATTACCCTCACCTCCATCATATGCCACCACCTCGACTCCCTTCGTCTTCTTCTCTTTCTCTTCCATTACCGCCACCTCTTTGCCCCCACCTATTGGTTCCCTGATATTCATTCAGTGGCGGATCCAGAACGAAATCTAACTGCGGTCCATTATTGATTAAAAAAAATACATACCAGTATAAAATTGTGAAAAATTTTAAAAAATTGGGTTATTTTCATAAAAAAAATATCAATAGGGGTATTTGATGTAAAAGTGGGGACCTAAGAGGAGCTTTTTAGTAAAAATCAGATTTTTTTAAAGGGTTTTATAGTACTAAATGTGGTGGGACCCACCTCCAAGTGGGGCCATGCACCCCACTTGAAGTGGCTGCCTCCACCACTGGTGTCACTACACATGAGCCACCACTATTGCCTCACATCTACCATTACACTATGACGTCGCCACCATCTCACCCAAGCACCTCTCTCTCTCTCTCTCTCATGTGGATGTAGATACGCGAATCCCCAACCCCTTTTCCTTTAACATGAAACTCCAATGATGATGTTGGTGGTCATGCTCGCACCCATAATAGCATCGTCACCCCCATCTCCTTCATCTACTTCTTCCTCTCATGTCGCTTCAAGACCGACTACGACTTCCCTCCTCTTTCTTCGTCATATTTGGCCCTCCTTCACTTCCACTGTCTTATTTCGTCATTAATGTGTTGGATTACAGTCTGAAATTAAGATCGGCATCAATATTGTGCTAAAAATTTCAACCGACTTTGGTACCAAGAATTTGAAATGAAGATCGATTATGGAGTTCATTCTTGCCCCTTAGACCCAAGATGTACATACACTTTCACCTTTCACTTTTTTTTGCGTACATTATCGCCACCTCATTTTCCCTCGTGTATCCCTTCGATCTTCAAAACCCATTCATTTTTCACTTCCTTTCACCTTTTTATTTTTAAAAAAATATATATTTTTATACTAATATTATACTTTTTTTCAGGCAATTAAAAACCATAAATTTTAATATACTTTTTCTTTTGTAATTTTCTAATTTTATAATATATATATATATATATATATATATATATATATATATATATATATATAATTTAATAAAAACTAGAAAAAAAAATTACAAAAACCGCCATGGACTAATAGAAACAAGAGAGAGAACGGGATAAGATGCCTACACTCCATTTTCTTTTACCTTAAACCACACCTAGAATGTGGTATTCGTGGACAAGATTCGCCAAACTGCGTGATGCGGTTAAGACCACGCCCGTCCAACCTTAGCATTTTTGTAAACTAATTATGAAGCATGAATTTAATCGGTGGGAATTAATTCTCAAAAATTGTTAGATTAAAGTAGGGGTGTGCGCAGTGCGGTTTGGTGCGGTTTCGAGTCAAAACCGCAAACCGCACCGCATATGCGGTTTGAATATTTTAGAAACCGCAAACCGCACCACAGATGTTCAAAACCGTGTGATGCGGTGCGGTTTGATGCGGGCGGTTTATGCGGTTTAGTTGCGGTTTGTGCGGTTTGATGAGTTGTTCAACATTATATCTATCAAAAAACCAAAAACCCGACCGGGTTAAAAAAATTGATTGCTTTCATTTTATAAAAACAAATACAATTTTCGAGTTAAATCGTTTTTAATAAATTGTGACTCATGCTACTATAGTTTTGTATGTATCATTGTTATTGTTTTATATTGCCGTTATAGTTGCTATATTCTTGTAAACATGAGATCTTAATCTAATAGTGATTTAATGTTATATTATAGATATTTGATTATTGTAAGAAAAATATATACATAATTTCTAAATCGTGATTTGAAGTTATAAAAAAGTAAAGAAAAAAAAGTATGTATATATATATATATATATATATATATATATATATATATATATATATATATATATATATATATATATATAACATGCGGTGCGGTTTGAACCGCAGTTTTATAAATACAAACCGCAAAATACACCGCATAGTGCGGTTTGATAAAATGATGAACCGCAAACCGCACCACGAAATTCTAAACCGCATTATGCGGTGCGGTTTGGTGCGGTGCGAGCGGTTTGTGCGGTTTATGCGGTTTTTTGCACAGCCCTAGATTAAAGTTAGTAATTTCAATTTGGTTTTTGATTTTAAGATAGATATTTGAATGCGGTGGTGGTGTTGGCATTTTTAGTTGGTTGTGGTGGTGGACGACTGTCTTAGGTGGTCGTGCGCAATCATTTTAGACGCGTAATGAGAAAATATTTTAAAAAAACAGTTCTAATAAAAAAGATAACGAAAAAAATGAAGGTCAAAATAAGAATAAAATAATTTACCATGACTTAACATTACTCTTCTAACTAGCAGTATCATTATATTTTCAGAAACTTGATGGGAGCATAGGCCCAAACTAATGAGATTCACAAAATTTCTGCAAATTCAAATTCCACCCGCCACTGCGCAAACCATTCACCACCACCTCCCGAATGGACTCAACTACGCCGCATACGGCCGCCTCATCCAACACTGCACCAACCACCGTCTCATCCGCCAAGCTAAGCTCCTCCATGGCAAACTCATTCTCTCCTCCGTCACCCTCGATAACTTCTTGGCTTCAAAACTCATCACTTTTTACTCTAAAACCAACAACCTTTTCGAAGCCCACAAGGTGTTCGACCAAATTCTCAACAAGAACACTTTCTCTTGGAACGCATTGCTCATGGGCTACTCAATGAACAACAAGCACCCAGATACACTGAAGCTTTTCCGGAGTTTCTTATCTGCCTCTTCGATGTCTGTAAAACCAGATAATTACACTGTTACATGTGTGTTAAAAGCTTTGTCCTCGTTGGGTTATGAATCAAGCTTCGCTAAAACATTTCACTGTTATATCATCCGGAACGGGTTAGATTCCGATATCTTTGTGGTAAATGCTTTGATAACTTTCTACTGTAGGTGTGATGAGATTGATACAGCAAGAACGTTGTTTGATCTTACACCTGATAAAGATCTCGTCTCCTGGAATTCAATGATGGCAGGGTATTCACAAGGAGGATTCTACGAAAAATGCAAAGAATTATATTCAAAGATTTTAAGCTTGGAAGACATAACACCAAATGAGTTCACAGTAATCAGCATCCTCCAAGCATGTGCACAGTCGAACGATCTAAATTTAGGTATGAAAGTTCATAAATTTGTGATAGACAATCAAATCCAAACAGATCTTCCAGTTTGCAATGCGTTCATCACAATGTTTGCCAAATGTGGCAGTTTGGACTACGCTCACCAACTGTTCGATGAAATGTCTGAGAAAGATGAGATTAGCTATGGCTCTATAATATCAGGGTACATGCTACATGGCTTTGTAGACAAAGCCATGAAGCTTTTCAGGGAAATGAAAACACCAGGTTTGAGTACATGGAATGCTGTAATCTCAGGTCATTTTCAGAACAATCAGTATGAAAAGGTAATCGATTTACTCCATGAGATGCAAGAAAACAGATTCAAACCAAACACTGTAACACTCTCAAACATTTTTCCTACACTTTCACATTTATCAAATCTAAAAGGATCAAAAGAAACACACGCATACGCAATCAGAAACAGTTATGACACAAACATCTATGTAGCAACAGGGATTATCGACACCTATGCTAAATTAGGTTTTCTCAATGGGGCCCACATAGCTTTTAACCAATCAGAAAAGAGAAGTGTAATCATCTGGACATCAATAATCTCAGCATATTCTTCACATGGTGATGTAAACTCAACACTTGATCTATTCAATCAAATGATAAAAGAAGGCATATATCCAGATCCTGTGACATTCACATCTGTATTATCAGCTTGTGCTCATTCTGGATATGTAAATGAAGCTTTTAGGGTATTTGAAAGCATGTTACCTAAATACAATATTCATCCATCCATGGAGCATTATGCATGTATAGTAGGTGTTTTAACTAGGGCTTTGAAGCTACATGAAGCTGTGGAGTTCATAAAGAAAATGCCTTTTGAAGGTAGTGAAAAAGTTTGGGGTGCATTGCTTCATGGGGCTTCGGTTTGTGGTGATGTTGAAATTGGGAAACTTGCTTTTGATCATTTGTTTGAAATTGAGCCTGAAAATACAGGAAATTATGTAATAATGGCAAATTTATATTCACAAGCTGGGAGATTTGAAGAGGCTGAAAATGTTAGGGTGATGTTGAATAAATTTGGGTTGAAAAAGATTGCGGGTTGTAGTTGGATTGAAACGCCAGGTGGCATGCAAAGTTTTATAGCTAAAGATTTATCGAATGAAAGAAGTGATGAAATGTATGTGATTTTGGATGGATTATTTAACTTGATGAAAGAAGAAAGTGAAGATTTTTATGAGGGAAGTGATTGTTGTTTGGAATCAAATCATTTGATCATAGTATAGAGATAAAGTTTTTATATTTTTGCTATTATATATATATAATATGTTACCTTGTGGAGTTAAGTTATATCATGATCTTGTCATCATAAAAATCGCATGTATGTGGAAAGTGACATGTCATCATAATTCAAATCATTATCAAGAGGTTACTTATTGCTATAAAAATTATTTGAAAAGCAAGAAAAAATAAACGTACAACGTTATAACAAAGGAAAAATAAAATAAAAAATGGATTGTTATTTCTTACATTTAGTTGTAATTATTGATTTTGCAACCCAAAATATTAAAATTTAGAATCACACATGATTTTTTGGGATGTGTAGGCTGCAAATACCGATGCGTAATTTAGTAATTTTTCAACTAACAATCACACATATTCCCATATAAGTTGTCACTAGTTTACAACATTTATCCATTATTAATGCTTTTAATGTAGGGACAATAGGATGTATGCATGGGCCAAATTGTATTTTATTCACTTGTGATTGTTTTATTAGTAAAATAAGAGAATGAAAAGAACATACATTGCCAATTGCCAAACATGCTACTTTTAGACAAACACTTGTCGACAAAATTTCAACATTTCCAGCCACTCCCTTCCATTCTACTCCATCACTTCACACTCTCAAAAGTCTTCCTTTACACACACACACACAAACATATATGTATCGATGTATGTAGTAAATTACAAATTCGGTTCTGAGTATTTCTGATTTTTGCAAATTGAATCCCATTTTTGTTTTTTTTGTTTTGCAATTTTAGTCCTTATTGGAGGTTTTTGTAACGGTTTTGGTCACTATTTATTGCTATTTTTGGTGCAAAAAATACTCATTTTATTTGGAATGGAGATCAAAAGTTACAAAAACCTCAAACAATGATCAAAATGATATATATATATATATATATATATATATATATATATATATATATATATATATATATATATATATATATATATATATATATATATTTGAGACCAAAATTTAAAAAATAGGCTATACTTAGAACCAAAATTTTATTTTCTCTTAAATATGTTATTATTATTATTAGAGTAATTTATATTTTTGCTACTTGAATATCAATTGAGGTTATTGTAACACTTTTGATCCTGTAAAAGATTATTTTGTCCCCGAGTATAACTCATTTTTTCAATTTGGTCCAAAATACATAGTTATTACTGGAGTAAAAATGTTACACAACCTCAAAAATTAAAAAAAATAATAAAATAAAATTAAAAAATTGAGACTAAAATTGAAAAAAAAAAAAATCGGCTATACTTAGAACCAATATGTTATTTACTCTTAAATATATTATTATTATTTTTAGAGTAAATTATATTTTTGCTGAGTTTTCAATTGAGATTATCGTAAAACTTTTGGTCCTGTAAAAGGATTATTTTGTCCTACTTTTTCAATTTGGTCCAAAATATATAGTTATTACTTAGATTATGGAGTAAAAATGTTACACAACCTCAAATAAGACCAAAATTTCCAAAAAAAAAAAAAAAAAAAAAAAAAAAAAAAAAAAAGACCCTTAAAAAAAACTTTTAGCACCAAAACTGAGAAAATCAACTATATTCAGGGACAAAAAATATAATTTACTCTATTTTTTAGAAAATCTTCAACAAGAAATCGTTCCAATGTTAAAACTATTCAAATCTCACGACTTCACATCTTGAGCACATAATTACCTTTATGTGATCGTTCAATTAATGATTTTATACGAAATTCGAAAATTCCTCCGAGAATAACATTTCATATACATATAAATCAAAATTTCATTTTAACAGTTTGATGCAAAACTTTCACATGAACATGGAGTAAATTTATGAATTTATGACCACATATAGTCCTCCCACTACATTCTCAAAAGCATATTGGTGTACTATATCAGTACATATTATTATTTCACCTCTTTTACTTTTCACAAATAATGAAACCTTACTTTTAATGCAAAATGGTATCCAATGACAGATCATTACATATATTTACATTAGTTGCTCTAAAAAACAAGGTAGTATAGTACATGTTTTAATGCGTAGAACACAAGTTTGTAATGCAAGACAACAAATGATCCTAATTCCCTAAAATTCTAGATTTTTTTTTTATAGAACTAATCAATTAGAGCCCACCATAAATTTAACAAACACTCTTCCCCACACACGTAACTACTTGAATAAAACCCCTTATCTCTTTTTCTTCTTTTGGCACATGATCCCGTAATGGAAGAGAAGACCACCGGAAGTACAATCATGGCAGCACTCTCCACCCTCACCCCGCCACAAATCTCCTCCCTGACCACCACCATCTCCGCCCTCTTCCACCTCCACCACCGTCGTCTCTCCTCCCTCCTCTCCTCCCACACCCTCTTCTCCCTCTCCCTCCACCACCTCCACACCCTCTCCCTCAACCAAAAATCCCTCCTCATTGCCCGCCACCTCTTATCAATCCTCTCCCACCTCTCCCACTTCCTCCACCCCAAAACCGCCGGATCACCACCAAACAACACCACCATGGTCAACGTCAACCACCGTGACCTTGACTCTGTTCTCCTGTTACTCCTTCTATGTGAACTCCATCAACATGATCCGGAATCACTCAAGACATTGTCGCCGGAAAAGTGGCGGGAGTCGCTTTCCGGTTATGTCTCCACCACCATGTTGACTCTCTCCGGCATTGGGTTCTCCGACAGTGAAACGTTGAGGAAATATGTTGAAGTGGTGACAAGGTGCCGGAAGTTTGTGGAGGTGATGGGTGGTGGTGGAGATGGGAAGGAAGGGAGAGAGGTGGCGGCGTCTGTGGCGGCGGTGGTGGCACTGCCGTCGGTGGAGGTGGAGCAAGGAGGAAAAGAGTGTGTTGTGTGTAAAGAAGAGATGAGGGAAGGGAGAGATGTGTGTGAATTGCCTTGTGAACATCGGTTTCATTGGATGTGTATATTGCCATGGTTGATTAAGAGGAACACGTGTCCTTGCTGCCGCCATCAGCTGCCGACTGATGATGTGTACGGCGAGCTTGAGCGGCAGTGGGCGGTTCTTGTGAAAATAAGTGATGGTTATTATTAGATTTTTTTTATATGAAAATTAAGAATTATAATTTTTCTTCCTTAGACATCTAACAATGTGTTGCATGTTAAGCATAATACTACTCGTTGATTTTGTTAATTGCTTGTTTTTTTTAATATTTAAGAGCTTAATGAGTTAAGTATTTAGTCTGAACAACTGTAATGTGTTTCTTACTTTTCTTTCTATTTAATATGGACATGTTGACTTAATAGATTAAGTCAAAAAAACATGTATTAAGACGTCAACCATATTTTTCTTCTTAACGTTAAAATTGATGATCGGTGTTAGACTGTTAGTATTGTGTGAAAACAATTAAAATTTAGTATAAAATTGTCATCTGACTTTTTTTTGTGAAATATTTAAGGAAACTTTATACAGATAAGAGTTTATCCATGCCGACGTCAAATTAAAATTAATATGGAAAAAGAGAAAAACAACATTCTAAGAAGGGTCTTATTATTCTTTAATATCCACAAATTTTGTATAACTTAAAAGGTAGGGGATGGGTGATTATTGAATATCATTATCAACATATATGTGGTACTTGTAGAGATTTTAATGCACAATGGTGATCGAGTATGTTGATTGGAATGTTACATCTTATATTAAATACAATGATGTGATTAGCAAATTGTACGTTATGCTTAAAAAGTCGTACACAAAACCAGAACATAGTCTACGTGGTGACACTAAAATGTTGACATATCTTGTTTATATTACATGGCATATAGCACACCAATGGATGAGCGTTTGGCTGTTAGCGGCTTGTGTGTAGAGAGTATCATGTGGTAGGCATTTTTATGCACTTAAACGGGTAAAATACATAGAATGGCAAGTCTCTTTTGTTTTGGAGCTTCAAACCATTTATAAATCATATTTCAAATTATTATTTTTTTTACTTCATATTTTATGTCTAATTTCTACTACGAATAGCTAGTGTTATTGTTTTTGTTGAAACTAATTGAAATATGTGTATATTTTAGGTTTGAAATCGTTAGTTAACATGACTTGGTTCCATATAAGCATATAAAATATACTATGAATCTATGATTATATTTAGACAAGAAGTTTCATGCTCATTGATTTGAGTTTAAGAACATTGGATACAAAATGATCAAAATCAACTTACATTAATTACTTTAATAGATTATAACAAAATGATCAAAATCAACGTACATTAAATACTTTATGAGATCATAACTAAATCAAGTCCTTGAACCCATCATGGAAGTTTACTCTTAAGGTGTTTGGAACAATTTTTCTTGATGTATTTGGTCCACCATGTCCATCATAGACCCCGATAAGCATGCAAAGGTTGTGACTTCAATGAACTCAATGTTCATGATTCAACTTGCATATGCCACTCTAAAAATTGTTTAACTAGATTTTCTCATTGAAATTAACCACTTAAATGAGACCACATATCATGATATTGTCGTCATGAATCATGATAATTAAGAGTCTTGCGGTTGTGGTGCAAAATTTCATATAGGAGGTTCAAAGTTCAAAACTTGAATACCTAAATATTATTGGTGTTGTGCGATTTATCCCCACGTGATGGCAAGTGAGGAGGGTTTTATATTAAGCGATTTACCATTTTTTTAGATCTTTATCCACAACAATCTATCCATTCATTTTGTATTTATACCTAATTAACATGAAGATATAATTGACGAGGAAACCATAATCTTATATGGCATCAAAGTTTCTTTTCTAAACGGTAGTTTTTCGAAACATGTGTCACTCTAAAAGCTGTTAGATTAACTGTCTAATGTCTTAACTAAATTAATATAGTTTTAGTGAATAAAATAAAGTCATTTTTAGTTGGGTTGCCCTCATAACCAGGAAATACCTTGATATATTAATTAAAAGAGAGATAAATAATTTATTAATATATTATATGATTAACATATTAATTAGAAATAGTTAATAATTAACTAAAAATTAATCCGAATTAATTAGAAATAATTTTAGGTTAAGTAGAACTGATTAAAATGTGCAATGGGTGAATTGCAATTATTCAATAGTTGAGCAAGAAATGCAATTGTAGATCCTTCCTTGCCTGGACGGTTTTAAGGAGTGTCCAGAAGGATTTCGGAAGTCTCCGGAATCAAATAAGGAAACTATATTTGAATCAAATTAAAATACTATTATTTTTATATTTAAATATGAGATTTCGGGGTTATTTGACAACTATGTAAACAATCACAACCCTTATGAAAACTGATGCCTCACCCTCTCATAAGCAATCATATATATATATATATATATATATATATATATATATATATATATATATATATATATATATATCAATAACGATCATAGGGTTTTGGGTGCGACGTTGTGACTTTCTCATGGAAGTATGTCATCAAGATACAACACCAAGAAAGTCACTATTGTCCCACTAGCCTTGACATACACACATGAGTCATCGTTACTACTAGAAAAACCAAACTCTTTAACATTCTCATGAAATATTCCAGCTGCGAGATGCTTGTTTCAATCCATAAATGGATTTCTCAAACTTACACACTTTTTCAGGAAACTTGTCATGTACAAAACCCTATGGCTGACTCATGTAAACATCCTCAGTGAAATTCTCATTTAGGAATTAGGATAGTGGTCTTAACATCCATTTTCCATATTTCATAATCATGAAACGTTGTTATTGCTAGCATAATCCTGATAGACTTTATCTTAGCCACTGGTGAGAAGGTCTCATCATAACCAAACCCATGGGTTTGAGTAAATCCCATTACAACCAGTCGTGCCTTGAATGTGTGCACATTTCCATCCATTATGGTCTTCTTCTTAAAGAACTATTTGCACCTTACTATCTTTCGACCTGGTACGTGATCAACCAACTTCCAAAATTGGTTATCATATATAGGTTGGATCTCTCTATCCATTGCCTTTATCCACTTGGCAGCCTTAGGTCTCGCCATCACTTCCTTGTATTTGGTTGGCTCATCTAAATTTATTAGTGTGTCATCACTGATAAACATGTGACCATCTAATGTTATATGGAAACCATATAATGAAGGTGGCATGTTAACCCTGCTGGATCAAAGAAGAGGTAATGAATTGTCAATGGGCTCAACAGGAGTCTCATCCTCTAGTTGAGAGCTCGTATCTTTTATGGTTCCTTTTATTGGTTGGCTCTTAAATATCTTCAAGTTCAATTGAACTCCCAATGTTCTCTTTGAATATGAGCTCTCTATTGCGCTAAGGACTCCCCTTCGAGCTACAAAGACCACGTTCTCACTAGGTCTGTTGAATAAGTATCCAAGAGACTTCTATGGGTAGCAAATGAAAATACATGTATCGGCTATGGGTTCTATTTTCTCATGAGTTTCTCGTGTCACGAGAGCCTCACAACTCCAGACCTTGATATGTGCCAACGAGGGAATTTTTCGTATTCACACCTCGTGAGGAGTTTTGGAAACCTTCTTAGTAGGAAAAAGACTTAGGATATGGGCGATTGTATCTAAGGCATACCCCTATAAAGAAATAGGAAGTGAAGCTCGACTTGTCATGGAACGAACCATGTCTAACAAGGTTCGATTTCTCCTCTTAGCCACACCATTAAGTTGTGGTTTCCTAGGAGGAGTCAATTATGAAACTATTCCACATTCCTTGAGGTAGTCGTGGAAATCAATACTAAGATACTCTCAGCCTCCATTAGATAGGAGCATCTTTATCTTCCTCCCCAATTGATTCTTAACCTCGTGTCTAAACTCTTTGAACTTTTCAAAGGTTTCAGATTTATGATAGATCAAGTAGAGTAGATATATCCATATCTACTATAATCATTCTTAAACGTCATGTAGTATCGATTTGCATCCCTTGTAGTAGATTTGAAGGGTCCACATACATCAATATGCATAAGATCCAACAATCCTTCACCACTTTCACATGTTCTATTGAATGGTGATTTTGTCATCTTACCCAAAAGACAAGTCTCACATTCATCATCTGTCCTTAAGTCAATTGATAACAACACTCCATCCTTTGGGAGTTGGGTGATGCATTTCTTGTTAATGTGCCTAAATCAACAATGCCACAAACATGCTTTGTGTACACCATTAGACGAATCAATATGAAATATACTATTGCCTAAGTTATTGTGACAACCTGAAAATTTCTATTCGATAAAGCCAATCAATCCAATCAAATGTTAGACTTGTTTATGCTATCTTTTAGCATTGTTAAGGGTCTGTTTGAGTGTTCTAAGCCTAGTACACTTAAGGATTGTGTGTATGGGTGCGTCAGCTTAAGTTCATTGGGTTGCAAAAGAGCCGAAATCTCCATCACAAGGAGTTTACGACTGCAAACTAGAGTTTACGACCGTAAACTCTTGGTGGCCGTGAAATCTCTATGATAAGTGTAGATTTCCTTCATTTGTTCTTCATTTCTCACATATTCAAGTCAAGAAAAGTCATTCTCTCTCAAGTATCATCAAGAAAACTCCGATTTATCTTCATTTTTGTAAGTGATTCTTCCATTGTTTCTTAATATCCTTCTTGATCTTGTAAAACCCTTTGATTTCATCCATGAATTCAACTCTTTTAGGTTAGATCTTCAAATCACCAACCTTCTCACCAATAGCACCAAGAACACCAAGAACATCCACTTGTTCTTGGGCTGTGAATCAAGATCCAATATCATCTTGTTATCCATTAGAATCTCTTGTATCCTCATAAGAAAAACACCCTATAAGCATGAATCAAGATCCAAAATGCATCATATTCAAGTGTTTACACTTGTAAACACTTCTTGAGGTCATAAAATCAAGTGTGTGGCCGTAAACTCCCTTTCATACAATCACATGTGATTGTAACACTTCATTTCGAGTGTTTCCTAGTCCCTAAGGTTGTTTCCTTGCATGTTAGTTGTTTTAAATACTAATTACATGCCTATATATGCCATTATATGTCATTTAGGACTCGTTCGTGTCTCGAGAATTCATTCGTGGAAATCTCATCCTTACACGAATC